AGTCGAACCAGCGGCCTTCGCACGTTTTTTTTAAAATGTGAACATTAATTGTAAAATTAGTAGCAATTTATTGTAAATTAAATTATAAAAGTAAATTATTAGTGCAACTATTCATAAATAGATTTACGTTGTATTAGTTGTTGTTACGTTGTATCGTACTAAGCATTAACAGATTTAAAACTTATAAAGTTTGCAACACCTTACTGTAAAAGACTTAAAAAAATAAACACTTACCTTTTCATCTGGAAGTTCACTACCATCCATTGGGAGTACATCAATATCAAAATCTTCATTCAATTCACTGTTAAAAGAACTCAAATCCCAACATTCTCTTAATTTCACTAGATGACAGCAGACTTCGCTTACACTTTCACTATTTAAGTATTTTAAAGCTCTTTTAGAGCCTTCATTAACCATGCACGAAGAGTTGTGGCATTGAGCAACTCTCCTATTACTACCTGAAACTTTATAAATAGTGACAATAGCTACAGATTAATTTGCTACAACAGAAAATTTATTGACATTAAGTCGTGATGGTAATTCAATGACTGGAATTGAAGAAAACTTGAGCCCTTCATTCATTACAAAAACATTTATATAACAGGTATCATTTAATGCTGGCTCTACAAATGGAGCCAATAGAGAAAGTAGGCTTTTTAACAAACGGACATGCAGGCAATAATTAACAATAGTAGCATCTACATGGCTGCTTGAAATTGAAAATATCTTGCATGAACAATTATAAATCGGAGACAAAGTTGAACTTGTGACACTGATGTGAATGAAGTCATTACACTATAAGTATAACCAATAAATTTATTTTTGCAAAATATAAAAAAGTGTATGTATTTTGACAAATAATAACAATTTACAATAAATTACAATAAATACTTACAAGGAAATCACCAGTATCAGAATCATAATCATTCATTAAAACTATATGCATAGTTTCATCCATATATCTCCATTTTAAAACACCGTGATTAAACAACTGTCCACAATAATATTGAAACAGATTTAATTGAACAGACGATGTGTTCGACGATGATGGAAGTTCTTTAACATTACTGCAATTAATATTTGCTGATAACGTTTCGATTGATATTTTATTAAAAGACCTTTTGCGGTGACTATTCGTTTTACCTGAAAATTAAAGTTTCCAATCATCTGTAAATCATACAAACACATACACATAGATGTATATACAGGGTGTTATACAGGAACAAATTTTATACCGCGGTTTATTATTTATTTGCAGTATTGAGAATAATTTTAGTTGTTGTATTACAAATTAATGGGAATTTTATAGAAATTACCGCCAAAAACTTGAAAAATACTGTGAGCATTAAAATTTTATTTAAAAGTAAAATAAATACAGTAATTGATATCTATGGACACCTGCAGCAAAATCTGCAGATTATTGGGTTCTGGTAAAAAGCAGTACACTGCCATTCCACATAGTCACAGCGTGACATTTGACTCTTTTTGATTTTAGAGCATTTAAAATGAAAAAATTACAAACTTATAATAATAATAATCTTGTTAAAACATTTGAGTTTCTAAAAGAAAAACTTCTAACTTCTAACAACTTATAGATTTCAAGGTATATGCATTAAAATGCATAAAATTAAAATTATATATATATATATATATATATATATATATATATATATATATATATATATATATATATATATATATATATACATATATTTATATATGTGCATATTTATTTATATACACATATATATGTTTATATAATAGAATAAATTTATAAACAAATTTAAATTCTTACTGACATTCCATTCCTGTTGTACAAATATTACATTGTTGAAATATTTATTTAATTATTTATTTAACCATATTAACAAAAAAAAAATAATTTACAAATATTTGTCGTAAATTTTCAGAAATTGGTTAGGTGTCGCTCATATAGTTACAAACTAGTCAATCGAGTGACACCTAAAAAACATAAAAATCTTAACAACAACAAAAAAAGAATTTCTTTATTGTTAAATTATTGTTGTGGTATTTCTATAGGTTGTAGTTAAATGATAACATTAATTATCAAACTTACTTTGTTTCTTATTACATGTTATATCAGCATCAATGTTAACCATCAAAACCTCTGAATTTTGTAAAAAACTTAAATAAAGTTAGTAAATAAAATGATAAGTTATAGATGGAGCCAATATTGTTTTCTCATAATCAAAAGTTAACAAATTTGAGTTTGATAAAACTTACTTTTTTCCTTAGCATATGGGATAGTAACATCATTTCTACCCATAAGAACCTCTAACACTGCTGAAACTATTTTTCCAGGATCTTCACGATAACAACATGCCTAATAAAAAGAAATGTGAAATCCAAAATAAATAAATAAAAACCTCAATTATCAATTGATTATCAAAACAAAAATCTAAAATGAACAAGATTTTAACTTTTATAGAATAATTCAAAATCTAAAAATACTTGTATGATTTTGTTTCTTGGGGAGGCAGGAAAATATCTAACACAAGTTGGTAATCTTTGCTCAAACTTTATATTGGTGGATATCTGATTACTCCAACTGCAGAAATGATCATTTGGAATAGATGTTAAAATGTAAATTTGCTCTTGTAAAGTCAAAATATTTGATTGTTCTAATTTATAGCAAAATACTTTACCATTGTCATCTCTGACTCAACGATAATCCAACTAAAGCTTTTCCCAATATTCATTTTCACCATCAGTACAAAGTAAAAATCTAAATTATTAGCATAAAATAAAAGGCACTTTAACAGATTGTCATATTTCTTAAATTTAACTTGACAAGTTAAGCAATCTATCAACTATAAAGTTTTTTGAAACAAAACTAGTTAAGTAAAATAGTGCAACACAACACAAACAATAATAATAAAATAAATCAAATCTATAAAACCATTTATTATCTAATTCATTAGATGTGGACCATTTCTGGAATATGTACATCGAATAGCACAATATAAATAAACATTTGCTGCTTTTTGGTTCAATATGTGGCTTAATTTGATTAAAAAGTTTTTGAATACTACTTTTGTTATTTGAAATTTGTCTGTCATAAAACCTATTTTTCGAAAAATTTGGTGTTTTTCTTCCTAATATAAATAATGGAAATATAAGTTAAAATAATATAGCAATGTGTTATATACATATATATATATATATATATATATATATATATATATATATATATATATATATATATATATATATATATATATATATATATATAGTGTCTGCGAAATTCGAAGGATTTATAGAATTAGATACCATGTGGTTTCTGCTTTTGATAGAGGTTATCTTCTCTTTTTGAATGGGATTCTACATCCTGACTTGTGTAGACTTGATAGGGAAGAACTGAAGTAATTTCAAATTTCTCTTTTAATTTTGAATGAATGAGGTTCCGATAACATCCACTTAAACTTCCAAACTCAAAATATCTGGCAATATTTTTGGCACCTTCAGCAGATGGTAAAGAAAATAAAACACAATATAATAAACAATCACTCGACCCAGAAGATGCCAATGATAAAAAGTTGTCCTCTGTTTTTAACAATGGAGATTTGCAAACTAAAAACTCAGATTCCATTATTTCAGTTGTTTCAATAACAGCTTTCATACCGTCAAAACACTTATTTAGATTGGAAATCATCACTTCTAAATTAGCTTCCACTAAATTGATAAAAATATAATTAAAAAAGCATAACCAAAATTACTCAAAATATTACTTATTATATAGAAAATGTCATTACTAGCCTTATTATTTAGTATTATAATATTTATACCAGATAATCATAGCAAACAACTTGTAAAATGTTCCAACTATTATAAACATTATTTTATTGTTTATACTGTTGTAAAAAAATGTACATTATTATAAACCACAACAATAAACACAAAATTAAATATTATTTTATTGTACAATAAGATAAATTATAAAGAATCTTATCAATAAATTAATGATATAAAATATCTTTAATTAACTAATTAACTATAAACTTTTATTTGAAAACAAATCATAAAAATACTTACTTTGAAATCTTTACTTTGAAGAAAACAAAAAAAACTTTGCTCTTTTAGAAAGTAAATGAAGTATAGTGAAGCCTAAAATCAAATCTAAAGATCAAATTGATAATCACAAGATCAACTTATATTTTATTATCAACCTATATATTATTTTCACCCTTAAAAACATTAAAAGTCTTTGTAAGGCTGGTTACATTTAATTGGTTATTAAATAAATATTAAATTAAACGTTTTCTACATTATCAATGTTGAATATAAATATTAAAATAAAGATGTTATCAAATAAAAGGTATACTGAAAAAGAATTTAGTTAAAATATTTTCTTTATATAGTCAATAAAGAAATTAATAATTAAATAATAATTAAAGAAAATAATAATTAAATATATAATTAAAGAAATAATAATTAAAGAAAAATCACATATAAAATTAACTTATATTATTTTATTTATAAATATTAACAGATATATTTTATGAATTCATGACCAAGGGGTAATATATAGAGAGAAGAAAATATAAACAATAAATGTTGTCTGGTTACAAAACAAAATTACTTTATTCACATTTTTAACGACATTTTATCATAAAAAACTGTTTTAAATATAATAATACAAAAAATTAATTTAAATTAAAACGAAGTAAATACAACAATACAATAAAAATAAAGAGGATTCTTCAAATCATAGCAACACACTTGTCGCAATTAATTTTACAGAAGTTGGATCGTTAGGATTTATAAAGGAGCTGGAGATGCATTAGAGTGTGGTTCATACAGAGGAATCAAATTGCTAGACAAGGTAATGAAAATTTTATAGATAATTGTTGCAAACAAAATAAGGAGCAGTGTATTTATCAATTATCAGTTTTGATTTAGGCCAGGAAAGGGAACAACAGATGCCATATTCATTGTAAGGCAAGTTCAAGAAAGATTTGAAAAAGAAAAAGGATCAAAAGATGGAAAAGAAAAAGGATCTGTGGATGGCATTTGTTGACCTAGAAAAAGCTTTCAACAGAGTACCAAGAGAGGTGGTGTGGTGGGCTTTAAAGTGTTTAGGTGTTAAAGAATGGCTAGTGACAGTCATAATAGCTATGTATGAAACTGTCACAACAAAAATCAAACCAAGAGATAGAGAGATTGATAGTTTTGATGTAAAGGTTGGTGTGCATCAGGAGCCAGTGCTTAGTCCTTTGCTTTTTATTATCATTTTGGAAGCTCTCTCTAAAAAGTTCAGAGTTAGTTTACCATGGGAGTTATTCTAAGCAGATGATTTGTGCCTGATAGCAGAAATAGAAGAAGAATAAGTATCAAGATTTGCGACTTGGAATAACCGAATTGAAACAAAAGAACTTAAGATAAACATAAATAAGACAAAAGTTATGCACTGTAAAGTCAAGAATGAGCAAGCAGAAACATCTGGGAAGTGACCATGTGGAGTGTATAGAAAATCAGTTGTAGCAAATTCTATTGTTTGTACAGTTTGTAAGCAATGGGTTCATAAGAAATGTAGTGGTATACAAGGCTCTCTTAAGATTGTTGGGTTTGAGTGTAGAAATTGTACTATTGGTGAGTATAGAGAAGAAATTGGAAAAGAAGTTGAAATAATAAGTGGAGGAAAGATGTTAGTAAATTTTGTTATCTTGGAAATACAATTGGATCAGCTGGTGGAGCCGAAGAAGCTATCTTTATCTATGACAAGAGTAAGGTCTGCTTGGGCCAAGTTCAGAGAATTATCTCTACTTTTAACAGAAAGAAGTGTCTCATTAAAGATTAAAGGAAAATTATACATCATATACGTCCAGAGTGTTGTTATGTATGGCAGTGAAACATGGGCAATGAAGGTTGATGATGTTCAGTGTTTGTAAAGGACAGAAAAGATGACAATTAGATAGATGTGCTGTGTGACTCTAAAAGACAAGAAAAGCAGAAATGATTTAAGAAAAAGATTAGGATTAGTGTGTTTATCTGATAAGGTGCGTCAGGGAAGTAATTTTCTGACAAACAGAGTTGCAAAATGGTAGAATAAACAATTTGAAGAAATCATTTTAACAAAAAGTGTAAAATCTTTATGAACAAGCTTGATAAACATGGATATTATGAAACTGTGGTCTCTATGAATATTACAAAACTGTAATTAGTATGGGCTCATAATAGATACAACACGGTTTTGAATCTCAAGGAACATAAATATATATATATATATATATATATATATATATATATATATATATATATATATATATATATATTTATATATATATATATATATATATATAAATATATATTTATATGTATATATATATATATTTATATGTATATATATTTATATGTATATATATATATATATATATATATATATATATACATATATATATATTAAATATATATATGTGTACTTATACAAATATAATTATATATATATATATATATATATATATATATATATATATAAATATATATATATATATATATATATATATATGTATATATATATATATATATATATATATATATATATATGTATATATATACTAGTGATAGAGTGTTTAGATGCGTAAAAAGAGAGAAAACTGCTCACCTTAAAACTGCTCTCTTTAAATTAAAAAGAAGAGGGAAAAGGAAGAATAAAGAAAATAAATTGATCCCTGACCCTACCCTGATATTATTGATGCTGTATAATATATTAGCTTAATCACTTTATTTGTTATATTGGTCACAATATATTGCGACCAATATAAAAAGTAAAGTGACCAAGCTAATATATTATTTAGCATTAGTATTAGCTTGTATTAATAATATTAGCTTGTTTATGTCAACTAAATATACTTGTTTATAATATAAACAAATATATCTAAACTAAGCTATTATTATAGTATTAGCTTAGATTATTAATATTAGCCTTTGTATAATAGCTGAATTTATTTGTTTATAATATAAACCAATATATTTAGCTAATATAAACAAGCTAATCGTCATCATAATAATAATAATTAACAATGACACTAATAATCCAAGCTAATAGTATTAGCGTGGATTATTAGTGTCATTTTAAATAGTCTGATTCGATTATTCATAGTATAAATAATCCAAGCTATTATAATAGCTTGGATTATTTATACTATGAATATAATATTTATACTATGAATAATCGAATCTATTATAATAGCTTGGATTATTTATACTATGAATAATCGAATCAGACTATTTATGATTTCAAATTAAATGATTTTAAATTAAATTTTAAATAATAGCGTTTTCTATTTGGATAATATAAATATCTAATTAAATTATTATAAACATAAAAAAATAAGGCATTGACATCATTTCGACAAATTTTCATCGGCTATTGGAAATTTAAAGCGAACCGTACTTAACATATGTCGCCATTTCATAAATATGCAATCGGAAAAAAACAACCAATCAAACAACTAGAAATCTTTGATCAGGATATTGTATATTAATACCCTCTAATAGTAACTGGATTCTTAAATATAAAGATAGAGTATATACCGTTTCAAAGCGATAGTACCCTGTCGTAGTAAGATTTGCGCGACAAGCATCATGAATGTTTAAATGTATATTGTAAGAGAAATGTGACTATAATGGCAATAATATGAAACATTTTTTAATCTGTTTTAATAACTTTTAGTATAATAGCGATATTAATTCATCATTAAGCATAAAAGTGATATTTAATGTTACGTATGCAAGCTAAAAATTTGGGAAATGTAAAGTTATTTCAGGATGTAATTTTAGTTTTTTGAAAAAATATTTTTTTCATCTCGCGCAAGTGAAAAGCATTTTTTATACATCCTAAAATTTTTCCGATTGCCAAATATCTAGAGACCTGAATGTAATATAAACATGTTTATGAAGTATTTGAAATTTGACCATGTGTAGACGATGTCTAAAGAAAATCGCCTAGCTTTATTCCTTCATATTGCGCCAAACTATTTTTTATAATGGAACACAAGTTAACAGAGGTCAATAATTAAAACCAAACCAATTTTGGCGCAACATGACACAACAGTTATAATTTAAAGAAATACAATTTAAAGATATTAGGATAGTGATGCACACTTTTTCCACGTGCTTACAGTTCGTTAGAACTCTTATCCGGCTTATAACGCAAGAAAATTTCAATCAAATGAAGACATCTAAATGATAACTTTTAATGACCTCACGGCTGTTTCACTCTATATAAAAGTGGGCATGACGTCATGAGTTTATCAAAAAAAAAAAGAATTTCCGCATAAAGAGTATAAAAATTCACTAACTTTAAAATAATAGCATTTTTTTTCTAGAAATGCTTTCATCTTTGAATAAAAAATAATAAATAAATAAAAAATAATAAATAAATAAAAGATCTATCTTTCCTTGTTAAAAAAAGGACTACAATAAAATATTGTTAAAATATTGAAATTGATTTGGGATCACTTTTCTGTTTTTTGAGATTTTTAATGAAAACCTGTCTTGGGCCAACAAAGAATAGCTAACATAGCTACATGCTTAACGGTTGAAATTTAGAGCACTTATTAATGAGTGTCTATTTTATCATATTCTAACGTTACTGGTGTGTATGTGTCCTAAAAAAAATTTTTTTATTGCATTTATATATTTAATTTTATTATTTTTAAATGTAAAATTTAACATTTTTGATCAGTAATATAAGTTATTGAAATTTTAACCTTTTATGCATATGAAAACAAAAAACCTATTTTCTGTACCTCTAGCTATGTCAGCTATTATCTTTTCAAACTTAGCATGTTTAGCAACAAATATTTTCAGTTTTCGCGTAAATTTTTATAATCATTAAAAAACGATGACATAACCTTAAATGCGTTACGTCCCAATCAATTATCTTAGCAATTTCAACTGAACTACTGTTTTGGCGAGACAAATTCTTAAGTATAAAATAAACAACGTTTAGCGGAATATTCTTGACTCGTGGAGAATTCGACTGTTAAGGCGGTTCTCCACTTTTCGCTGCTTATTAATCAAATTTTCGTGCCGCAAAAATGTGTCAGTCTCCACATGAAAACAAAAGCGTTATTCGCTTTATCAAAAGTATTACAATTTTGCGATAAAAAAAGATGGAAAAGTTAAAATTGTTACTTCTTCTCAGAAAGATATACACGAATATTTATATATGGCAAAGAGAAAAAAGAAAAAAAGAAAAAAAGACGTTTTTGGATTAGAAAGATTTACAACGAGAGAAAGTTGAAGGGGGAATATCAAACTCTTATTAATGATTTGACACTTTATGATCATGAGATTTTTTTCAAATATTTTCGAATGTCTCCTTCAACTTTTGAAAGACTTTTACAAATTGTGGCTCATGATATAACAAAAAATAATACGAAAATGCGTAAACCTATTTGTGCACAAGAAAGGCTTGCTATAACAGTAAGGTATTTGGCAACTGGGGATGCACATACTACAATAGCTGCTAATTATCGAATGTCACCAACCACTGTTGGCAGAATAGTTCATGAAACTTGTAATGCTATTTGGAACAACTTGTTACGAGAATACGTAAAAACGCCTAATTCTGAAACTGAGTGGGAAAAAATTGCCTACGAATTTGAAACCAGATGTCACTTTCCACACTGTGTTGGTGCCATTGATGGTAAGCATGTTCAAATGTTTTAATCAAGAAGGTTCAGTAGATTGGCAATTAGATATTGTAAAGCGAGTAAAATGAAATTAAACAAAAGTTTATTTTGATTAAATATAATAATTACATTTTTGTTTTTTATCTTTAAGAGAAAATAAATAGAACTAATAAAATAGAACTTATAAAATTCTAAATGTCTTCATACTCAACTCCAAATTCTATTTCAAATAAAAGTTGATTTATTTTTAACTTAGCTAGTCTTGCCTTTTTTATTGGTAATCCTTGCAGCACAGGACTATTACAAAAAGCAGACATTTCACAGACTGTTTTGTTTTTTTCTTCTAAAGAATCGATTAAACGATTGTCCAGATCTTTCATTTACTTTAAAAAAAGGTTATCGGATTTTTCTATAACTGATTTTCGCTTTTTGTTTATACGTACATCTTTGCATTTCTCGCTTGAATCATCTGCAGGGATGGAAAGTTGAGAAATAATTGGCAAGGTTGTTAGTTCTGTAGTCAAACTAGCATTACTTTCATTCAAGTTTTTAGAATTTGTACATTCAGTAGTCGATTTTACGTTACTCACGGTTGGTTTGTTTGAACTTTTTTCATGAAGAAAAGCCATTTGATCAAAGTATTTACATTTTGGCAAGGAAAAAGCTCCAGCTCCAGATCTTGTAAGAGCTCGTCTTCGATCTAAACATTTTTTTAGATTATCTTTCAAATTCTTCAAGGTTTTTTGTAGAACACATACTAAATACAGAATGTATGAATTCATTAAATGTTAATCAAACACAAAGTTATATATATATATATATATATATATATATATATAAGTATATATACATATATGTGTATATACATAAATTATATATTATATGTATATATACAAACCCAAAATAATATATATATATATATATATATATATATATATATATATATATATATATATATATACATTTTGTGTTTGTTGATAAAAAAACATATACATACATATATATATATATATATATATGTAACATATACATATATATATATATATATATACATATATATATATATATATATATATATATATATATATATATATATATATATATATATATATATATATATATATTTATATATATGTATATATATATGTATATATATATACATATATGTATATATATATATATATATATATATATATATATATATATATATATATATATATATATATATATATATATATATATATATATTAACAAGATATTTTTTTGGGTTTGTTGATAAAAAGCTTTACATATATATAAATGAAAATATTCATATATATATATATATATATATATATATATATATATATATATATATATATATATATGTATATATATATATGTATATATATAAACATATATGTATATATATATATATATATATATATGTATATATATATATATATATATATATATTAACAAGATATTATTTTGGGTTTGTTGATAAAAAACTTTACATATATATAAATGAAAATATTCATATATATATATATATATATATATATATATATATATATATATATATATATATATATATATATATATATATATATATATATATATATATATGTATAAATATTATTACGTTATATTATTATAAATGTATGAATATGTAGAGTTTTTTTATCAACAAACCCAAAATATCATCTTGTTAAACAAGTTTGTAAAAAATTTGTAGTGTATTTAACAAGATAAAGTTTTATACCATCCTGATTAAAAATTACTGAAAGCTGTTTCCATGAATTTACTTTCACATTTCTATCTTTGTAGCTTTTTTCGTTTGTGTCCCAGAGACACCGAAATTTGCAAACAGTCTCAATAAAGCTTTCTTTATCAAATTCACCTCCAATTTGTTCTTCATTAGATTCATTTTCATTATCTTCTATTAATTCTATATTAGAAACTTCCATCTTTATTTTTAATATTTTTAAGTAATGTGATTGGTTTGTTTTAAAACGATAAATAGTCGATGAGCGAAAAGTTAATAAATTTCAACTTTTTTGCGAAGCGGTTTTTTTCGCAGCGAAATTGTTATCCCTGTATTGCAGACTCAGCTGCGCATGTGGAGCAGCAAAAAATTTCGCCCGCCGCGACATTTTTCGACTAGTGGAGAACCGCCTTTATCAGATAAGTTTGTTAATCCTATTACATCTATTGCATCTATTTGTCAAATAATAATTTTAAATAAGTTGTTTGTATTGTATTTGTATTGTAACGTCAGTGTTTGTTTTATAACTGTGTATTCTGCAAAGAGAAAAGTTTTGCAATTATATATTGAATGGGAAGATTGTTGGAAAGATGAATGTAACTTTCCTTTAGTTAAGCGAATAATTAGCAGTGATAAAATCACTAACAAAGTAATTTCAATTTTAATGTCAGTTTTTCAATTAAGAAAAGATTTATATAGTTTTATGAGCTATATCTTGCCAATAGATTTTATTTTGCCTAGCAATGAGGAATTTGACCTGATGTGCAGAAAGTTACTACGCCAAAAAATTCATTATAAAAATAATTCTTTAAAAAATGAACCGTTTTTTAATATGCAACTGTCTCCAGCTTCACAAACCAAAAAAAGAAAATCAGCAGATGCAGATTATTTTTCAATTTTAAATAAGAATAAGGAACAAAGTAGTCAAGTTGACCAATTAACTTCTAAAGAAGAAACACATGTGGAGCAAATAAATAAATTAAAAATGCATGTAATAAAGTTGGAAACTGAAATTACAGATTTAAATTCTAAAAACAAGACTCTTGACACACATTGTAACTCATTAAGTTCTCAAGTAGAGACTATGAGTATTAGACTAGGAGAGGAGGAGCAGCTCCAACTTATTTTAAAAAGACAACTTAAAACAGCACATCGTAAATTTGCATCTGCTCGTAGCTGTAATTTAAAATTGCTTAAAAAAATTAAAATTGCAAAAGAAAGCGTAAAAGTTAACATAAACCAGAACAGTTGCCAAATTTGCTAATGTTTGGTTAGCGGTAAGAATTTAATTGTTGTGGATTCATATTTAGACTATGATAACATTGGTTCTTCTGAATTGTTTTCTGGGTTTAAGTCGATTAGGCCACAAAACCCATCAGTTAGTGGCCCAGTAGTTGTTCAAAAACATATTTATATTAAGTTAAGCTGTGCTAAACAATATTCGAAGTTAAGTAGGCGTAGTGCAGCTAGGCGAACTAAGGTTGCCGCTATATTCCGTCATTTGTTAGCTGGTTCAGATGTGAAAAGTGATTTGTGTATATTGTTATGTGATGTCCTGTCTCGTGAAATGTCAGTATTGCATTGTGTTGGAAATAAATTAGGTTTTGTTACACAGTTAAGCTTCTTAGATGCTGTAGAGCTTCAGAGCCAATTAAGGATGCCTACGACTGAATTTCGTAAGCTTAGGCGTATTCTGTGTAATCTTGGGGCAAAGATTCTCCCATCTGAGCCCAAGATTAGAAAAAAACAAGAAAGGCGGACAATGCATGTTGATAAAGATCATGTCACTCTAAAGTCCATGTTGCTTTATCCATCTGCGAATGAAGCCCCTTGTTTAGTATTTGTATTAATGGTTAAGAGTTTGACAACTTATATTAAAGAGGTTTACAACAATCTTCAAATTCGCGACCACCTTAACGTTGATGTCAGTTTTGATAATGAAATATGGCTACTTTTTGCATGCGATAAAGGTGGGACATATTTGAAATTCTATTTTGAAGTTGTCAATTCTAAATCATCTGGGTCTATTTATGATGTTCATTTGTTTTGTATGTACCAGGGTTCAGACTGTCGTGAGAATATTGCCTTAATTCTTAGGCATTATGTCAACGACATTAAAAGAATTCATTCGTCCCAATTCACACTAAAAGGCAAAAAAATTAAGTTGTTCTTAGGTGGAGATTTTCATTTCATCGATGATGTTCTGGGACACCAGGATTCAGCTGCTAGCTTTCCTAGTTCTACAGACCTAGTTGAATTAAATTTTCTAAGAAGCCATGGCTCTATGCCTCACACACATGCTAATTGTAGCATCATAAGGAGAACAATAAAATCTCTAGAAGGTGCTTACAATGAAAATTTGTGTGAAAATAGACAGGGTGGAAACCTAAGAGCTTTAGGTAAGTTTCATCATTCAGTTGTTTCTCCTGTGATTTTCCCCATAATATCTTTAGATAATGTAGTGCCTTCTGTTTTGCATATTATGTTAGGAATAGTATTAAAACTATATAAATTGTTATTGAAGGAATGTAAAACTTTAGATTTAAATTTTGATTCATCTTTATCTAATAATGAAGCTGTGAAAACAAGTGAAATGTGGGCCGCTAATAGCGTTGAATTTTCTAAAACAACAGCAGCCTTGCGTTTAATCGGGGAACAGTTTGTAGATATAGTAAATCTACAGGCTCGATGGATAGCCAGTAGTAAAAATGATTTTTCTGAATTAGAATCCATATCACTAAACTCCTTTGATAAAAAAATCAGTATTAACAAGTCAGAAAATTGTGCTAGCATTAGGTGTTTAATTACAAAATATGATTCTTACATCGATTGGGTGCAGTGTGGTACGTGTCAAGAGTGGTTTCATCAATATTGTGAAATTATTGGTGATTCTGAAAAGAGTGTATTGTGTGACATAAAAAATTATGCATGTTTAGCTTGTCAGGGTGAAGATATAGAAGATGTTCATCTGTATATCTCAGAAAAAAATTTATTTTATGCGTGCACAACGAGAAATTTTAGATTATGAGTATACACGATTGCAAATTAAATGCGCGAATCTTGAAAAAAAATCAAGAAGCGACATGGGCACTCATGAGAAGGCCTTGATGATATGAATGTTCAGCGGCAAGCTTACCATGGTAATGTATTTGTTGGTAATCATTGCAAAATAGTTTTAAGAAACCACTTAAAACTTTGTAGTGTTATTGATGATGCGGCAATTAGAAATAAGTTTTTGCGTGTGTTTAGCTTTTTCAATAAGTTGCAGCCGATTCTTTTTAAGAGAAAATTTCTTTCCGATGCCGAAGTTATTGAGCTGAAGTTATTGATTATGTCACATACCGAAGTTATTGATTATGTCAATATACAGATTTATTTGCTTGTGAGTTTCATGCTTGCTTTCCAAATGAAAGTATTACGCGAAAAATGCATGAACTCACTTTTAATGTGCCACTATTTGTTAAATCGCATAAAACTATTGGATTGCTGAATGAAGAAGAAGGAGAGAGTTTGCATGGCGGCGTTAATCAGGAATTAAGACAGTTGCATTCAGTAAGGAATCAGGAACAGAAGCTGCGTCTTGTTTTAAAACGCTTTGAATCGCACAGCAAAGCTGATAGAAAGCTTCAAGCTGCTAAAGTAAGAAAGTGTGTTGTGTGTTCAGAGCATGGCGAAAAATCGTTTTATAGAAAAGGTCTTTGTCTTATTTTTGGCCATCAATTTCAATTATAATATTTTAAAACTAATTGTATTTAATTAACTTCCATTCTTATCTTTAGAAATTAGTTCGAATGTGCTTCAACAGTTACGTAAGCATTACAGTTTCAGTCATCATAAAGAATTTTGTCTTTCTGGTGAAAGAATGAGATACAACATAGTTCTAACTTTGTGTACAAAGAGTGTTAATACTACCTTAAGAACAAATCATTGGACCAACTGATAACTAAAAAATTTCTTGCTTATGAAAATCCACAAAATAAATGGTTCTAATAAGTTTTAACAGTTACACAACAGTTTGTTTCAGTCAGATCATAAAGAAAATTTTCAATCATGAATAAACGAAAACTAATACGAACCATCATAACTTGTTGGATGGAGCATCATTAGTTAAACCTTACTCCAGAAGAAGCATGAAGCGCCAACATTTAACATATGAAGTCAGTAAGATTATGGAGAGTATTTTCCATATGGAATGGAAATAAAACTAGTATCAATTGCATACAAAGATCGTTTACTACTTATAAAACATATATAAATATTATTTATGTCAATCCACCAAAACGATATTTATCAAATTATTTAAATTGCCTATATTGTTATGTATATTTATAAAAAATGTGTTATTTTTCCACAGAAAAGTGTTAATATTGTAATATCGATCTAAGTGTCAGGAAATTATTCTACGACCGAAAGCAAAAATAATTGGAAACTCTTTTTGTTTGTTTTAAATCTTTAAAAAAAAAAAAAAAATTTTTTTGCGATTTTTTTATTTCGTCTATTGTAGTGCCTGTATCAGTTTGCATTCGGTGTAAATAATGTTAATATGTTTTATAACTGGTCTAACTATGTTTATATTACATATTAGTCAACAGAATTATATTTTTTCTGATTATTTTTGCTAAAAAGTACCTTTAAAATTTCGAAATTCTGCCAAGTTCGTCATTATGCGCGCTTATTTAAAAATCAGAGCAGCGTTGGATCATTATATTGAATAATAAAATAAAAAACATTTAGTCAGTGTTCATATTCCTTTTACAGAACGTATTTATCTTTAATATTTCAAAAGTTATGAAAGTTTTAGTAACACCCCTAAGTAATTATTTTCAAAAAATAACAAGAAGCCGTATGTCCACTCTGAAACAGCCGTGACCTAGATGCGAAGATTAAACTTATTGATTGCGTAAACACTAACTTTAACATAAATGGCATTTGCGAGACATTTCTTGCAACTTATGTCAAAATTTAATGGTGACTCTCAAATCTTAAAGGATAGGGGGAAGACGCTTTTTTTAAGAAAATATATATACCTACTCCAAACTTACTAAGCCACACTAACCCTCGTTTATTAATTTTTACTTATCAAGTCTCCTTAAAAATAACAATTGAAAATAGGCATTTTCCCTTAAATTCTAAAATATTTTAATTAAAACTGAGAAAATTGCTTTTATTTCAATTAGTGATCAAAACAGAAACTTTCAGCGT